TCAAGTCCCAGTCAGGCTCTCTGGGTGGAGCCTGCTTCTCCCTCTGCCTGTGTCTCAGCCTCTCATTCTCTCTCTGTGTCTCTATGAGTAAATAAATAAAATCTTTTTTTTTAATTTTTTTTTGTTTTTGTTTTGTTTTTGTTTTATTTATTTATGATAGGCACACAGTGAGAGAGAGAGAGAGAGGCAGAGACATAGGCAGAGGGAGAAGCAGGCTCCATACACCGGGAGCCCGATGTGGGATTCGATCCTGGGTCTCCAGGATCGTGCCCTGGGCCAAAGGCAGGCGCTAAACCGCTGCGCCACTCAGGGATCCCAATAAAATCTTTTTAAAAAATAAAAAAAAATAAAAGTATGGAAAGATTGCCCTATGCTGACCTTGAGCTGGTAAAGGTAAATAAATAAATAAATAAATAAATAAATAAATAAATAAATAAATAAAAACTGTCACAGAGTGTATATAATAAAATCCTTCTATTGTTACAAAATATACATATTTGTGCATGAAAGTCTATTGGGACTGGAGAGAGAATGGGGGATTTTCACTGTTTTAAAACACTTCTGATTCATGCAACTTTTGGGAGAAATGCATGGAAAACTCTTAACTTTAAAACTACTACTTGTAGGGCACCTGAGTGGCTCAGTCAATGGAGCATTTGACTCTTGGCTTTAGCTCAGGTCACGGTCTCAGGGTTGTGAGATCAGGCTCCGTGCTCATCTGGGATCCTGCTCCAGATTCTATCTTTCCCTCTCTCTACCTCTCCTCCCTCTACTTTCTAAAATAACTAAGTATATAAATCTTAAAACTACTACTTTATTAATGGTATAATGCTTATTTTAAGCATCCTTCTGTGATCCACCCTCCCCATCAAACCAAGTACTTTGCAACTCTCCTCTTGTATCCTTTTCCCTAGGATCCCCTCACCCCAAATCTATTTGCTTCCAACCTGTGGGAACACAGGCTGAAAATTAAAAGCTTCAATTACCAGAGACCCCTCCCTAGGTATACATTAGCATATTTTCATGTGTTCTTTCAGGATGAACTGTTTTCTTCTCAACACTTGCCTAGCTAATAAAACCATAAGGTGGTCAAACACAGACTTCACCAAAACACCACCTATCCAGGTTAACTGGTAACTATGCACGAGGCAAGCAAGAAACCAAACACTTACCTAGAGTCTCATCTTCCCATTCATTACAGTATTCTCTCTTCTTACACAACACTGGAAATACCCCATGTGCCTATTCACAGAAGATTACTTTAAAAATTATGAGAAATCTTCCTATAACATGTTGTAGAGTTTAAAAATGTTTCATATTGGGATGTCTGGGCGGCTCAGCAGTTGAGCGTCTGCCTTTGGCTCAGGTAGTGATCCTGGGGTCCCGGGATCGAGTCCCACATCGGGCTCCCTGCATGGAGCTGCTTCTCTCTCTGCCTGTGTCTCTGCCTCTCTCTCTCTCTCTCTCTGTCTGTATGAATAAATTAAAAATCTTTAAAAAAAAAAAAAGTGTTTCATATTTAGGGGCTCCTGGTGGCTCAGTGAAGCGACTGACTCTTATTTTTGGCTCAGGTCATGATCTAGAGTCCTGGGATTGAGCCCAGGGTGGGGTTCTGTGCTCAGTGCAGAGTCTGCTTGTCCCTCTCCCTCCCCCTCTGCTTCCTTCCAAGCACAGGCAGCAGGCAGGTGCACTCTTAAATAAATACATACATACATACATACATACATAAAATATTTTTTAAAAGATGTTTTATATTTACTGACATGATACTGATGTTTCTATAATCCAATACTATACAAAAATATTTTTTTAAGATTTATTTATTTATTTATTTGAGAGAGGATGCCCATGGAGGGCGGCAGGAGCAAGAGGCAGGGTTTCATCCTTCCATCCGTGAGATCAAAACCAAGAGTCCACAGCTTAACAGATGAAGCCACCCAGGCACTTCACAAAAAAATTTTCTATGTTTTGGGCAGCCCCGGTGGCTCAGCGGTTTAGCACCGCCTTCAGCCCAGGGTGTGATCCTGGAGGCCGGGGATCGGGTCCCACATCAGGCTCCATGCAGGGAGCCTGCTTCTCCCTTGCCTGTGTCTCTGCCTCTCTCTCTTCTCTGTGTCTCTCATGAATAAATAAATAAAATCTTAAAAAAATTTTTTTTCTATGTTTTAAGTACATATTTTAATGACTGGATGTATGAAAGCACAGGAAAGGATACAGACCAAAATGCCAGCAGTGGTTTATTTTGGGTACTGAAAATGATTTTTTTTTTTTAAAGTAGGATCCACATCCAGCATGGATCCCAAACCAGGGCATGAACTCGTGATGCTGAGATCAAGACCTGAGCTGAGATCAAGAGTTGGGCACTTAACCCACTGAGCCACCCAGGAGCCCCGAGTACTGAAAGTGATTTAATTAAACTTCCCTTTTTCAAAAAAATTTTGTGGGGAGGCTGCTTAGGATTCCCTCTCCCTCTCCCTCTGCCCCTCCCTGCAATGGTGCTCATATTGCTCTCACAGAGCTTGTCTAGCTCACATACTACTTGTACAATTCTTAATCAATGACAAAGGGAACAGAAGTTTCAGTCTCTGGGGTGCCTGGGTGCCTCAGCCCATTAAGCCTCTGCCTTTGGCTCAGGTCACGTCCCAGGGCTCCTGGCTGGAGCCTCCCTGTGGGCTCCCTGCTCAGCAGGAGTCTGCTTTTCCGTCTACTTTTCCCTCCACCTCTGCCTGGGCCTCTCCCCCTGGCTCTGGCTTGCATGCTCCTCTCTCAAATAAATAAAACCTTTTTAAAAAAATCATCCTTAAAAAAAAAAAAGAAGCTTGAGTCACCAAAAGAAAAATAGAATGCATCGTGGGGGACTTCCCAGGCTTGTGACATGGCAGAAAGAAGCAAGTGCCTAAAATGAGCTCACATAAATGCCCAACTGCCACACCCCCCCATGCGGCCACTCTAAGCAAGTCCACTCACTTCATTCCTCATTCAGTATATACTGAGGTCCTTTAGAGAATGAGACTGCTGGACCATGGTGATGGAGATGACACTAGGGCCCTGGCCTCCCAGAGTTTACGATCTAGTAGGGAGAGGGATCAAACATATGAACACAAATACTGGGATGCCTGGGTGGCTCAGCAGATTAGCGCCCAGGGTGTGATCCTGGAGGCCTGGGATCAGGTCCCACATCTGGCTCCCTGCATGGAGCCTGCTTCTCTCTCTGCCTGTGTCTCTGACTGTCTCTTGGTCTCTCTCTGTGTCTCATGAATAAATGAGAAAAACACACACACACACACACACAAATACTTATCAGTTACGGTTGGGGCAGGAATGCGTATGTGGTCTGATAGAGTGTTTTCCTGGCTCCCACCCCCAATTCAGGGGCCCCCATCTGTAAGATGAGAAGGGGGTATTCTAAGTCTTCTGGGTGAGATCCAAAAAAGACGGGAAAGAAAATCAAAGGTAGTATTTGCCCTGCAGCACACTGAGGCGCCTGTGTAAAGGTCAAGCTAAAAGGGGATGAGCAAAGAGGTTATGCTAAGGGGCAGAAAAACTCGGAGATGCTCTGTTTCTTAATCATATAGTCAATCTAGTTTCATACTGGGGGGAAAGCTCCATCTACCTTAAGTCTGTCCTGTAACTCACCCATTTGGGGAAGTTGCCATGCAACCGGAACAAAAGTATGTGGAGAAAAAAAGCCCTCAAGATGTAATATTAAATAGTTCCAGTTAACAAGTAACTTGATTTTTTTGTTGTTGTTAAACAAGTTGAACATATTCTTCAGGAATCAGTGCTCCCGTCCCCCGCCCCCAGGCCCATCAATTTGTAAACAACCACCAGCCAGATAATCAGGGCCAGCCTCCCCAGGGAGCCGCCTGAATCAGAGAAGCATCATCTACACTTGCATATTTTTTTTTAAGATTTACTTATTTATTTATGAATGATTGAATGAATGAATGATAGACATAGAGAGAGAGAGGCAGAGACACAGGAGGAGGGAGAAGCAGCCTCCATGCCAGGAGACCGACGTGGGACTCGATCCCGGGACTCCAGGATCGCGCCCTGGGCCAAAGGCAGGCGCTAAACCGCTGAACCACCCAGGGATCCCCTACACCTGCGTATTTTCTTAAATGTGTGCACATACTTAGCTTCACCTCCGAATTTCACGTTTCCAACTTTAAAAGGCAAAGGCCAAACGAAAAGCGTTCAGCACAGCTGGTAACAAACGAATGCCTTCCCCCTAACGCCGGCCAGTACAGGGCACGCAGCACCTGCAGCAGCCGTTCACCTCCGGAGGGAAAAGAACCACATTCTGCGGTCTCATTCGAATCGACAGTGACTTGCTGTTTTACAGTGCTTTTATGAAGAAGATAAAAGCGAGAAACTGCCTTTTTACAGCAGGTCAGCAAACTTCGCAGGGAAATGAGAACCTCCGTCCTCAGGGTACCCCGGCTGCCCAAGGGGCCGCGCACCTGTCGGCGGCCCCGCCCCGCGCCCCCCGCGCCCCGCCCCGCAGGCGGCCGGGGCACACGCACCTGGGCGCCGTGGCACCGCGGACGGAGGCGCAGGGCCAAGGTCTCCCGGCCGAACGAGACGCCCAAGAAGGTTCCACCTGTAACTCGCGGGACGCCCGAGCGCCTCAAGCTCGAGGCCCCGCCCGGCGGTGCGCCCTGCCCCGGGCCGTGCCCGCGCCCCAGCAGCTCCGCGCACCCCGAGGAGGAGGTTCCAAGGGCGGAAAAGGGGGTCGCAGGAGGCGAGGTGGGCGCCCCGGGCCTCGGGCTCCCCCCCCCCCCGCTGCACCCGCCGACGCCCAGGGGCCCCGGGACCGGGACGCTGAGGCCTCAGGCCCTTGGATCGCGCCCGCGGCGAGCGCCCCTCCGCTCCGCTCCCCTCCCCTCCCCGCGCCCGCCTCTCGGCCCGCGACACCGGGAGGGGATGCCCTGCGCGCACCTGCCCGGGTGCAGCCCCGGCTCCTGAGCCGCAGGAGCCCTCCCCACCCAGCTGCTCACCTTGCACGCTGCCACTGCCGGGGACAGCGGCCGCCAGCAGGACGGCCACCCCCAGCAGCCGCGCGGCGCGCACGCTTCGCATCCTCCTGCTGCCCGCCGCCGGCCGGGCCCGGGGTCGCCGCCGCTCCGCCCGCCTCGCCGGTCTCACCGGCCGCAGTCCCAGCCTGACCGCCGCTCCCCGAGACGAGAAGTTTCAGTGAAACCCGAGCCTCCGGGCGCACCCGCACTCGGCCCCGCCCCGGCCCCGCCCCGGCCGGGGGGGGGGCTCGCGGCGCTCCCGCCCACGCGCTGCAGGTGCACGGCCGCGGGGGGAGGGGGAGAGAGGGGAGGGAGAGGGGGGAGCCCGCAGGGGGTGGGGAAGCCCCCAGGGGGAGGGGGAGCGGGGGGGGAGCCCGCAGGGGGAGGGGGAGCCCCCAGAGGGAGGGGGAGCGGGGGGGAGCCCAGGGGGAGGAGGAGCGGGGGGGGAGCCCGCAGGGGGGAGGGGGAGCGGGGGAGGGGGAGCGGGGGGAGCCCGCAGGGGTAGGGGGAGCCCAGTGGGGGAGCCGGGGGGGGGTTGCCGCTGAAGTAGCCGCGCCGGAACGCACGCGGCAGGAACGTGGGACCCCGCGTTCCTGTAGACTCGGCCACTCCTAGAACCACCCTTACCCTTTATTCACTCCTGGGGACCCGGGGTCGCCGTCCCTTCTCCTCCCCTTTGCTAAATGGAAAAAAGCCGGCCCGAGCTCAGGGACTTGGTCGTTGGTAATTGGTAGAGGCTTCCCGGTGCAGCCGGCACTGGGGGATGAGCCGCGAGTTGTTGGATTTTTTTTTTTTTTTTTTTTTTTTAAGGGATGAGTTCTTAACCTGCAGAGGCAAGACGGTGGCTGCGGAGACCGACCAGGCAGTGGGGAGCAGGAAGGAGGGCCCGGCCAGGGGTGAGAGGCGGAGAATCTGGAATTACGTTTCCGCTCCCTGTGAACTAGCTGCCACCTCCCTGTGAACAAGCCGCTTCACCACCTTCTAGGCTCATTTCCTCTTCCGTGAGATGCAGCAGGGAGGTGTTAGTTGGGACAGCCACATTAAGTGCCAAGAGCTAATGACTTGGAACTAATTTAATCCTAACAGCGAACTGTGCATTACGTGTATGCTCATTATTGCCATTTTACAGATGAGGAAATGGAGTTTAGAAAGGCAGGGTAAATTGCTCACAGTTATGCAGTTTATAGGCATAGTTTATAAACGCTCCCCACATTTAATATCTAGTCTATGGCCGCCTCTTTTTTCTTTTCTTTCTTTTTAAAAAGATTTTATTTATTTGACAGGGAGCATAAGCAGGGGAAGCAGCAAGCAGAGGGAGGAGCAGGCCCCAGGCTCGGGCTCCGGCTCTGCAGGGAGCCTGGGATCATGAGCTGCCCTAACGCAGATGCTTAACCAATTGAGCCACCCAGGTGCTCCTGACTGCCACATTCTATTAATCCCTGTACTATAAATGCCTCTAGCAGGGCCTACCCCACACTGGGAGCTGGTAGTCCCAAGAAATAGGTAGAGGGGAGGGCGCCTGGGTGGCTCAGTTGGTTAAGCCTCTTAACACACATACAGCCAAGAATGGCCAGGAAAAAGTGTCCAGAATTCTTGTTTTTTTTTTTTTTAATTTTTTATTTATTTATGATAGTCACACACAGAGAGAGAGAGAGAGGCAGAGACATAGGCAGAGGGAGAAGCAGGCTCCATGCACCGGGAGCCTGACATGAGATTCGATCTCGAGTCTCCAGGATCGCGCCCTGGGCCAAAGGCAGGCGCTAAACCACTGCGCCACCCAGGGATCCCTGTTTGTTTGTTTTTTTTTAATATAAGATTCTATTTATTTATGAGTGAAAGAGAGTGGGGGGAAGAGCCAAGGGAGAGGAACAAGCAGACTCCATAATGAGCATGGAGTCCCATGTGGGGCTCAATCTCAGGACCCTGAAATCATGACCTGAAACCAGGAGTCAGATGCTTAAGGTCTGAGCCACCTAGAATTCCTTCTAATAGCTGCCTTTCAGTAGGGCGTCTCTATGTCTCCAGTTCTTTGGGGAATGTGGTAAGCGGCTAGTCTTGAAATCCTGTAACTCTGTGGGCAAAATCTGGTTTCTCTCCTTGCTAACATTTGTGTGACATTAGAGAAATTACCCTCTTGGAAGCTTTATAAAATGGAGTTAATATTTTTTAAGCTTAAAGGGGTCTGAGGATAAAATAAATTATGATCATGTTTGATGCATGGTGAAAGTTAACAGTCTTTTTCTTTCCTTCCTTTCTCTCCGCAGACTTCTTTACACCCCCAACCTGTACACTAGCTCTCAGGATGCTGTCTGCCAGGGCCACTTGCCTCAGCTTCTGCGCTCTTTCCTTCACAGGAAAAATTGCCTTCTAGAAGCAGCACAGGGGTCTAACTCATCCTGTCAGGGGACAGTTCTCATGAGGATCAATCCTCTCCCAAGGGTCACTCACTAGGAAAGATACTCATCTCTATGATGTCCCATCAATCTTTCCAAAGGCTCCATTTTGATATCTGTAGTCTATTTCTATTACGTCTAAAATCTGAAGATGTCCAAAATACCTTTCCTTTGGGGTGGTTGTAAAGATTTAGTTGCTAAATGCCCATAAATGCTTCTCTTAGCACAGTTCCTAGTATAGAGGAAATACTAAAAAAATAGTAGTTTCTATAGAGTGGCCCAGGGAGAGTCTTCCTCTTTGCAGAGAACAATGCATAAAACTCTGGCCATTTCGACTTAAATTTTCACTGGTATTTTATGTAAATATGCTTTGAATCCTTCACATTTCAAAGAAAATATTTTATTGAGCAATGCTCTAAGTTAATTATCTCATGAGCGTGGTTTCTCCCAACAGCCTGACTAAATGAACTATATTATTTAAGTCAGCTTGCCCATGTTTTCCAGTGATTTGTTTTTTGATGTTGATGACCTCTTTGCCCCAAAGGGTTGAGGGTATTGTATGGTGCTGTTGTACAGTACAGAGAAATAAGCACAGCCAATTCCAGATAGCCTGGCTTCCAGGAATTGGGACCTTTGTGCAGTTTCCCTCCCTCTACAATTCTAAGGAAAATAAAGTAAGAAATGGAAGAGACCAGACACTGAGGGAGAAGCCATTTCATTCAGTCAATTCTGAAACCATTTATCAAACTCATCAAACTTCCTGGAGAAACAAAGATCTAGTCCCTGCACTTGGGTCTTGGCCAAACATAAATGGTGGAAAAGTTACATTCATTCAGTCATTCATTGAACAAACACTCTGAACAAGGTTAGCGGTGACCTTCTTTTGGTCAATCCTTTGGTCAATTCTGACTTCAAGTTACTTAACCTAGCCGTGAAATTGGACACAATTGAGTTCTCCTGCTTGAATGCTATATGCACTTGGCCTCTGGGACCACTTTTGTCTTGATTTCTCCCCCTACCCACTGGCAACTCATAAGGAGTTCATTCTTTTCTGCTTCTTACTCACCTGCCTGAACTCTACACTCTGGAGTGCCCCCTGGTTTTGTCCTTGGCCTTCTTTTCTTTTCAATATACACTCATTTCCTTTGGTGATCTAATTCAGTCTTGTGGTTTTAAATACCATCTTTATGCAGACAATTACCAAATCTGTAATTCTAGTCCAGATGTCTCCATTTCAGACATGTAACACACACCTCTAGCTACTCAACATTTCTACTTAAACGTGACTATAGGCCTATCAGATAGGAGTCCAAACCTCAATTCCAGATCTACCTCGCTGCTGTTAGAGTTTTCTCATCTCCTTAAATTGTACCTCTATCCTTTCAGTTGCTCGGTTCAAAAATGTTGGAGTCATCTTTGACTTCTTTCTCATATTCCACATCGGATCTGTCAACAAGTCATACCATGAAAATACATCCAAAATAGCATGCTGGCTCAAGTTACCATTGTTTTTTACCTGGATTCTTGCAATAACCTTGTGACTTGTCTTCCTCTTGCCTCTGACACTCTACACAGTCTCCTCCCAATACAGTGGTCAGAGTGAACCTGTTAAAATGTGCATCCGATCAGATCACTTCCTTGTTTCAAATACTAACGTAGTTCCCCACTTCCCCTGAGTACAAACCAAAGTCTGTCAAAAGTGTTTATGCATCCTGCCTTCCTTCCCTATATACATGCATGTGCGGGCACACACACACACACATACACCCGCACACCCCCTTTTACTTCATCTCTTTTATTCCCCTCACTCATTCTGCTCCAGCCATATCTGGAATACTTTCCCCTCAAACACTGCATAGCTTAGGGCTTTACTTCTTTCATATATTTGCTACAACACTCTTTTCTCAGTGGGGCCTGCTAACTACTACGTATTCAAAATTAGACTCCTGGGGGGACATCTAGGTGGCTCAGTGGTTGAGTGTCTGCCTTGGCTTGGCTCAGGGCATGATCCTGGGTCCTGGGTTCCAGATGAATGGAGTTCCTCACTGAGTCCCTCATCGGGCCTGCTTCTCCCTCTGCCTGTGTCTCCACCTCTCCCTGTGTCTCTCGTGAATAAATAAATAAAATCTTAAAAAAAAAATTAGACTCGTGGGTGCCTGGCTGGCTTGGTCTGTGTAGCATATGACTCTTGATCTCGGGGTTGTGAGTTTGAGGCCTACAGTGTGTGTAAAGTTTACTTAAAAATAAAATAAAGGTAAAATAATAATAAAATAAAATTGCACTCTGACCCTGTCCTTCCCATCCTCCCTCCCTAGTTTGTTTTCCTCTCTGGCACGCATTGCCAGTATAGGTACTCTACTTGTGTTTACTTAATATCTAGTTCTCCCACTACAACGCAAGCTCCGTGACTACAGAGTTTGTATTTTTAAAATTTTTTTTTAGCTTATGGAATTGTTAAACATTGTAACACCATCTGAAGGTGACAGTGGTCTTTTACACACTCCTCTCTGTAATGTCAAATTAGTCTTTAAGTCGCAGTTTAAATCACTCCTTAAAATACAGGGAGGCAAATGTCTCAAACACTGTAGAAATCAGCCTTTAAAATGTCAAGGACAGGGATTTATATTTGTTTTGCCCATTGCTTTATTCCCAGTGCTAGAACAGTATCTAGCACATAGAAAGAACTCATACTTGTGGATGAGTCCATTTTTATATGCTGCACACCTACTATCATTCACTCTGAAAATCTAGAATTTTTACATACCGTACACCTACTATCTATCAGTCTGCTAAAATTTAGAATTGCAAAGATCAGTATCTCTGCTTCCATTGAGTTGATGGTTAAATCTGAAGACCCATGCATGGGCAGCCCAGGTGGCTCAGTGGTTTAGCGCCACCTTTGGCCCAGGGTGTGATCCTGGAAACCTGGGATCGAGTGCTGCATCGGGCTCCCTACGGGAGCCTACTTCTGTCTCCCTCTGCCTGTGTCTCTGCCTCTCTCTCTCTCTCTCTCTCTCTTTCTCTCTCTGTGTCTCTCCTGAATAAATAAATAAAATCTTTAAAAAATAAATGAAGACCGATGCATCAATAAGTATTGGGGGTGGAAGTAGTGCTAAGTGATGCTTCTTTGAAGGGCATCAGAAAGAATGAGATGCCTGGGTGGCTCAGCGGTTGAGCATCTGCCTTGGGCTCAGGCTCAGGGCGTGATCCTTGTGGGACTTACTGTGGGGAGTGTGCTTCTCCCTCTGCCCGTGCCTTTGCCTCCCTCTGAGTCTCTCATGAATAAATAAATAAAATCTCTTTAAAAAAAAAAAAAAGAGGGGATCCCTGGGTGGCTCAGCGGTTTGGCGCCTGCCTTCGGCCCGGGG